AATATTTTGGGAAACATCATATTACATAACAGCGAATATTTTGAGGGGGTAACTCAAGTACCATTTTTTGTGAGTCGGTCTAATGTACATATATACAATAGAGTGTTCCGAGGAACAGCCTTTTTAAGAATTTCATGTACGAATACCTCTCAATCGATGAGTATTTATGTACTGAACACGAGAAAATTAAAAAAACTAATTTGAAATAGGTCGCAAAAATTCCGCAATTTTGAGCTGATTACAGGAAACATATTTTAAGAGTATTTTTGGTCCACAAAATGGTTTTTAGTGGATTGGAGAGACTTATTATTTTCGCTTTTTATCGAAATAGGTGGCAAAATTGTCGTAATTTTTACGTAGGATCTTGTCAAAAAAATTGTTTTCTATTTTTTTATTTAGTACATTAAAACGCATCGTTTGAGAGGTATTCCTCTAAAAAAGTGGTCTACGGGACACTCTAATATACAACCACCTTCAAAGTACGGGATGAAAATCGACATAAAAAGTTTTATAGGAACATAATTCTTCATTCCGAATTTGATTAGGATTTATCTATAACTGACTGATAGTCCCTATATAAGGTTCCCTTCAAAAAAGGCTTATTTAAAATACATACGATTATTCCTTATTGAAAAATAAGAAATGAAATTCGACATAAGTATTGCTATGAAATTTAAAACAAATAAGTGTTATAGGAACCAAAATATTTTTACCAAATTTTACGGTTCATGTTTAAAAATTGGACAAAAATATTTTGTTTTTAAAAATGAATATTTTGTAAATTTGAAATTGACGTAATCTAAGGCGACCAGATTTTGGAAATGAAAATAGATGACATAAATAAAAGAGCAAAACAATTCTTGAATTATTTTTTTACATATTAAAAAATTTTACGAAAAATTCTAAAATTTAGATTACTTTTACTGTTATACAAAATATGCCATTGAAAGCGTGATATGCCATTGAAAGCGTCTCTCAAGGACCTTTCTTATGATACCAAAATTTTATATCTTTCCTTTGGAAGAAATATGAAAAAAATCATAAAAACCTCAAAAAAGGACCTTTTTGTCCTTTGATCCAACTCGCCAAATATTGACCCCTGGACATATATTGAAGAAGGAAAATAAAATGCTTTTGGTTGACAGAGGGTCATCTATGAATCCAATTCTAGTTAGATTAGATAATTATTCCAAAAATATAATCTTTTAACATTTTTCTTAGATTTTATTTACAAATTTCTAAACGATAAAATTATAAATTTTAGATTTTATTTTAAAAGAAATCATAATTAGTTTTCGCTATCAACCTAAAATTAACGAAAAAAGCTGAAATCTGAGAAAAAAAATTCTAAAACAACGTATTGATGGCTTAAAATAGGGTTGAGCCTACAAAAAAAATCTTAAATTTGTTTTAATTTACAAAAATAAATATTGATTGATTTCAAAATTAAGATGACAAAAGATGACATATTATGGAATTAGATGATAGAAAGAGGATATAAATTTTAAAGGTGACAGCCAAAAACCTCTTATTTGCCGACCAGTGTTATTAGTGTACCACATAGAAATATTATTTATTAAGAGTTTAAATTTTTGTGCATTACGATTCCTTTACAATAAAATACAAAATTAATGATTTAGTGGCAAAATTTTAAAAAACAAAAACTTACAAAAATTGATTTTTCCCCTTGCACATCCACCTCAAAACTTCAGAGCCGTTGCGGTACCTGTTAACGTTATCCTATCAGCCTAACTTTTGTCATGACATAATTTTACAACCCAAAGAACAATTCTAGGGAGGGAAACACTCTAATATGTATATAGGAATCTACATAATATGTATATGGGAATCTAAATTTTAAAATAGTTATTATCTCTAGACCTACAGTCGATTTCAGGTTTTTCACATATAAATCTTTTTCGGTGGAAAATATAAGTGATCGACGCATTATATACGTATCTACCACCGATTTTAGGCTTCATATCAAAATCGATTTTCGATAATAATTTAATTTATTGTTACAGATTTTTTTTAATTTTCTAATCGTAAAGTTAGTTAAGGATGTACAACCAAAAAACAAGTAAGAAAGTATAGTCAGGCGTGACCGACTATATGATACACTACACCAGTTATGAATATTAAATGTGAGTTATTTTTCATAATACAGCATTTATCTTCTATTACCTTGTTCCGATGCATTTAAACAATTTATGGGTGAAAAACTAATTTTCTGAAAGAGGCTTTATATGGGGGCTAAGGGCAAATATGGACCGAGCCTGATAAAATTTTGTGAATATATTTACATGTACATAATATTTTATTGTGGTGGATTTCATCGCGATATTTGTGTTTATAAGTTAATTTTGGACATTCAAGTAATTGTTCCGATACATTTAAGCAATTTGTGGATGAAAAACTAATTTTCTGAAAGAGTCTTTATATGGGATCTAGGGGCAAATATGGACCAAGCCCGATAAAATTTTGTGAATATATTTATATTTACATAATATTTTATTGTGCTGAATTTCATCGCGATATTTGTGTTTATAAGTTAATTTTGGACATTCAAGTAATTTTCTGAAGGGGACTTTGTATGGGAGCTAGGCCCGATCTCTATGAAATTTGGCAAGGACATCAAGGCTTGTATTAAACTTAGTTGTGCCGCTTTTTTAACCATTTTCAATAGGTCAAAAAAAGCGTGTGTGCCAAATTTCATCCCATTATCTTGAAAATTGAGACCTTGCGCACAAGGCTTACATGGACAGCCAGCCAGACGGACGGACATAGTAGCTTAATCGACTCAGAACACGATTCTAAGCCGATTGGTATAATTTAAGGTGGGTATATTTTAATATTTTTGTATGTTACAAACATCAGAACAAACCCAATATAACCTCCCCACTAAAGTGGAGTAGGGTATAACAATTTTTATACCAGAGGAGCGCAAGATTGCCATTACATAGCACGCGTGATAGGGTAAGAAAATTCTGCTGACGCTAAGTTGATACACATACACTATAGGTTTAATTCTTCTTCTTTTTATAATGAGCAATATCAGTGGGTTTGCTCTCAACTTGAAAAACAAAATCAAATCAGTTGCTGATCAGCACTTGTCGAAGCAAGGTCTATACGCGACGTTTTTAAAATACACACAGAAATACAACAACAAAATTTTGAGAAAGCCGAATTAATGTAGGAGAACATGAGAGAACAGTTGATAGTTTTTTATATATAGACTTTGATATACGCTGGCTGTCAAAATCCATAATAAACATTTGACAGTTAGCATATACTTTATAGTTTATAGTCATTTTATTAGTATACTTTTATTTAGAATTGAATTCTGTTCTCTGCTGCTTTACCAACACAAATAAAACTATGGTACTCTATGGTAGTATGTGTTTGAGCAACACTGTTTTATACCCACCATCAAAAAAGATAGGGGATATATTGATTTTGTCACTCCGTTTTTAACACATCGAAATATTGGTCGTAGACCCAGTATATATATTCTGAGTCCTTACTAAATTCCAAGGCGATCTAGCCATGTCCGTCTGTCTGTTGAAAGCTCGATAGGGTTCGAACGGAAAGAGCTAGCGAGTTAAAACTTTCCATAAATATTCCCTATAGGTAAGGTTTACTTGGTATTGAATATGGGCAATATCGGTCCACAATTTCGCATAGCCCCATACAAGTTGCCCCCCGAAAAACAGCTTTAACAGTCATAACTGTTTTAAACATACGAGTATAGCGATGAAATTTGGCATAAATAAGTTTTATATGCGTCAAAATCTCTGTACCAAATTTTATGGGAATCGGCCCATAATTGACCCTTCATATAAGGTCCCCTTCAGAAAATGACATTTATACTCATTACCGGCTTAAAAATACGAGTATAGTGATGAAATTCGACATAAGTAAGTTTTATATAAGCCAAAATCTCTCTATCAAATTTTATAGAAATCGGTCTATAATTGCCCTACCCTTCATATAAGGTCCCCTTCTGAAAATGATTTAAACTGACTTAAAAATACGAGTATAGCGATGGAATTCGACATAAATAAGTTTTATATGCGCCAAAATCTCTCTACCAAATTTTATGGGGATCGGTCCATAATTGACCCTACCCCTTCAGAAAATGACATTAATACTCATTACCGGCTTAAAATAACGCTTTAATTCGACATAAATAAGTTTTATATAAGCCAAAATGTCTCTACCAAATTTGAAGGTCCCCCTATGAGTGTAGCGATAAAATTCGACATAAATGTATTTTATATGCAACAAAATTTCTCTACCAAATATCATTTCCTGGATCAATTATAGGCCGATCCCCATAGGTCCATAATTGATCCAGGAAATGACATTAATACTCATTACCGACTTAAAAATATTCGACATAAATATGTTTTATATAAGCCAAAATCTCTCTAGCAATCGACAATCGGTCCATAATTGACCCTATCACACATTTTTTATTATAATTCTTCATTCCCAATTTTATGAGGATTGGTCTATAACTGACTATAGCCAATAAAACAAAATCTATGTACAAACCCCATATAAGTTTCTCTTTAGAATTAAAAATACAAGAACAGCAATGAAATTCGAAACGAATAAGTGTTATACGAAATCTTTCTACCAAATTTTACGACAAACAGTCCATAATTGATCCTACCTCTAATATATACGCATGGTTAAAAAATTGGACAAAATATTTTGTTTTTAAAAATTAATATTTTTTCAATTCGAAGATCACGTACATAATTGAAGCCTTATCTCTCTGATGATTACAGAAGAGCATTCCTTTTACGGCATACAATTTGATGGAGGGTATATAAGATTCGGCACAGCCGAATATAACACTCTTACTTGTTTATTTTACTAAGGAATACCACATTAGATCTCGATCTCCCACTGGACTTGTACCTTACGGTACATAATCCTTCCAAAATTAACATATTTATGCCAAATAAGTAATTTTTATTTTTTTATTCTAGCGATATTCTGAAGTTGATGATGTGCAACAAAATGAAAACGTTATTATCTCCTCATGTTTATGCAATTTATCGGATGGTCTTACAACATGTGTTCATGAATCGACATCAAATCAGTGTCCTAACATTAATACGACCAGTCCATCAAACACAGTGACACTGGATTTTAGTGCCTTTCCCGCTCAAACCGTTAAAACGAAGCCAAATGTCATTGTCGAGCAAGTTATTCAACCATCTTTAAATTTCTCAGCAATAGAAATTTCATCAGATTGTATGCCAACATCGACACTAAACACCACAACTACAAGAATGTGTATGATTGGATCACAAAATGGGAACTATCCAAATGGGGTTGTAAACGAAAACTTTCGTCCCTACATAGATGGTATCGATGAAGCTTTCCAGTATCTGCGTAGCATTGATAATACAAGAAATGAAGATATTTTAGATAATTTACTTGATATCACTGTTAGTGATTATTAAAGAAGTGCTATTATAATTGGATGTGCCGAATACAGTAGAGTGACAATGAAATATACATATTTATGTGGGATATTTTATTAACTTTTTATTTATATTTTATTGCACTATGTCAAATTTCAAAGTTTATTTCAATTAAGTAAAAAAGGAATGATAAACATTTTCAATGGAAAACTCTTAGATATGCTCATTTGATGTCAATGTTCAAAACATTTGCTATATTAAACATTTACCTAAATTGTTTTCCTAATTTATATAATACCATTATTAGTAACCGTATTGATATCCTCAACAAAAAAAGAACTTCCAAAGAAGCGAAAAAGAAGTATAATTTACTCTATGGAAGTATTTAAAAAGATCTGCAGAAGTGATGATTTTAGCACAGCCTTGTCATAGAAGGGATGTCCTTTATATTTGATTCCAAATTCACTACTTTTAAAGTCATTCTCAACAAGTAATTCTTTGGTTCTTTTTTTGTTATTCGGAAGTGAAATTGTATTATTATAGAATACAACTAAGTTGTCGTAAATAATATTAACATTAATAGGGGAAATATACACATTTAATAAAAAAAAGCCCAAAAATAATTTTTTTACCTCATAAAAATGAAAAAACACAAAAAAGATATTTTCAGCATTTAAAAAAATATAATCAAATCAAAATATTTAGCTTTCAATTGCAGGAGCTGTAACAATATAGGCCACAAATGCAGCCTAGTATAAAAGCGAGTATTGATCAGTTATTGTATTTGTTTCACTGTGTGTTTTTGTCTATTTATCGATGGCACGTGTCTTCTTACGTTTTCCTTTATGTGGGTGCCTAGTATAAGGATTGAACTAAAACAGTTATACTAATTTTTTTAGTGCACATTAGCGGACCCCAAAAAATACCGATCTTGATAAAATGGATCTTGTTGTCATACTTGTCCTGACGGTAATTTTTTGAATTTTTACGTTTTACAACGATATGCATGAAATAATTGCATAAAACATCATTATTTACTATTCTGTTTACTTAGTAACATATTAGCGAATTTTGTATAATAAAAATTAGAAATTTAAATGTTGAAAAAATCATAAACAGGAAATCATAAGCAAACATAGTTAACATACATTCTTCAAAAAGGCCCGTATTTCATTTTCTCCTGTTCTGTATTTTGCTAAAAAAAATGTGGTCACCGTAAGTATACGTAAAAATTTTTGTCTTTCTTGTGAAAAGACAAATTTCCATCTTCGCCGAGTTAACATTGAGGCCTCTCGGTTGAGCCAAGCTCAGAGCCTCCTCCTCCTCTTCTACACAAGTAATTTAGATCCTTTCCCTTCAAAAGTATTACGACATCGTCTGCATAGCAGACAGGTCTAAGTCCTTGCTCGGTTAGGGTCCTTAGGAGGCTATTAATAGTTGTAACCCAGAGTAAAGGTGACAAAATGCCACCCTGCGGTATACTGCGAAATACCTTTTTCCTGATAGTTATATCGTACATCCATCTGTTCCTTAGCATGAAGTTGATCCGTTACGGAGCACCCGGTCAACATAAAACTGGTCTAGGGATTGAATAAGAGTATCAGCGTTATTGAAGGCGGCTTCGATGTCAATGTATACCGCCAGTGTATAAAGTTTGCTATCGAAGGATTCACATATGTAGTGGACAACTTCGTTTAAAGTGGTTTTCACCGATCGTCCCTTTACATAAACATGCTGCTTAAATTTAAGGTCTTTGTTTGGTATACTGCTTTTAACCATATTATCGACTATCCGTTCCAAGGTTTTAAGTAGGAAGGACGTAAGACTTATCGGTCGATAGGACTTAGGTGTCGCATAGCTAGGATTCCCTGGTTTGGGTATAAATATTACCCTTGCATTCTGCCATTAAATGACAATCATGCAGTGAATATGTGAGACAAATTGAAACGTATAAAATTTCGTTAGCAATAGGACTTTTTTGATTTCGTCAAAAATTTTAATAGTACAATTACATTTCGACTAAACCTTATATTTTAGAGAAAATTATCCAATGAGGTACAATAAAATAAGTTCCTTACAAACAAAATCGGTATTTTTTGACTACCTCTAATGTACATATTTGTATTTTCTTGGTAAAAATAAAAAAAAAAAACGAATTGATCTTATTTTGTTATGCTATCTTGATACGATTAATCTTATATTCTTCATTCATTCCTAGAGAAAACTCATACATTATTTGGTAATGAGTGGTGATGAGTAGTCATTATCAACAATATTATTTTATTTATCTGAATTTGTACTTACGGATATAGAGCAAAGTAATTTGGAAATGTTATAGCCCAATTGTCTAGCGCGTCTATTTAACAAACAAGAGGTAGGTGGTTCTTGAAATGAGATTGATTTATATTTTTGTAAAACTGTTCACAAAGTTACAATAAGACAAGTAGTTAATGGACGATTGAGCAAACAGCTGGATTAAGAAACACTGACAATAACTGAACGCCTGGGTTCAAATCCCGGCTGAGGAAAATTTTATTTTTGTAATTACAATCAGAATATTATTATTTCTTCGTTTTTAGTATGTAGATTTATAAATAATTATTCATTTACAATTTGTAACAAACTAAATAACTCATTATTCACAATGTAAGTAAATTGGTAACCACATACTTATTTGTTGGTCAATGTCAAACAAAAATAAGTAGTTATTCCCTCCAAAAGTAAGTAGTTTCTACTTGTTTCCAATATTACTTTCTGGCTTACCAGGTATGTAAAGATTTTGCTGGGTACTTACGTGTTGGTTGGTTGGTTGGTTGGTTGGTTGGTAGGGGATAAAAACACTTTTTTGTTTTTATACCCACCATCATAAAATATATTGATTTTTTCATTCCATTTGTAACATCGAAATGTTGGTCATAGACCCACAAAAGTTTATATTCTGGGTCCTCATTAAATTCTAGCCATGTCTGTCCGTCTGTCTGTTAAAAGCACGATATAGTCCTAATGAAAAGAGAATAGCCCTCATACAAGAATGGCCCCAAAACAGTTTTAGCGATGAAATTCGACATACAGTCTGCATTTAAAATCCTAATATCTTGAAAAAATACAGCATATCGAAAAAAATTGTTGTTTATGTATAAAGCTTATTAATTAATGTTTATTTAAAGAAAAAAGAAATGGGTAATATATTTTACATTGTCAATAAAAACTAAAATGTTAAAAATTCACGTAACAAAAGTCTACTAACAGTTATCTTAGATTTTAAAGAGTTATTTTTAGAGAAAAAATTTGTATTTGTATAAAAATACATCAGACACACCCATTTTCAAAAAATAGGGGAAAATTAATTGCCAAATGTTGAAAAAAAATTATTCTTGAGTTAAAAAATTATTTTTTGATAGATATCCCACTCGCATCCCATTATGGGACTATAAAGCTCTTCAAGGAAATTTTATGAGCTTTATTTTAAGCAAAAAAAGGGTAATTTTGAAAAAAAAAATTATTTTTTTTTATATTTAAAAAAAATTAAAAAAATGTTTTGGAAAGAATAAAGATATAGCTATCTGTACTCCTTTACACAATTTTTGCGAGCACCAATAAGTGAAAATTTACACTCATTTTAATAAAACCCTGTATGACCAAAATGTTCAATTTTGACCCTTTCTGACTCCGGCAGTTCTTAACCGATAAAGCTGAAAACTTGTGTCTCGCCTACTATCAAAGAGTACTAACCTTGGTACATGAAATTTCCCATATATAAACCAAAATCGGTCTAAACAATTTTATGATAACTGAACCTACCCTTCATATGTACATTAGACCGACTCACTGTGTATGGAAAGCAAAAACGTGTTTTTGTTACCCCTTTCAAAATTTTCCTTGGTTTGTTTTATGATGATTCCCAAAATATTTACGCTTGTATTTATAAAAAATCTTATTTTGCTTTTAATGCACTCAATAGTTAAAGCATACTTTAGCCTTAAAAACCATTAATAAAATTGTGATATTCATAAACAAATAATAAACGTATATTAACTATTGTGCTGATTTATGTTTAAGTTGGCAGCACTGTACAATATGGCTGTCATTTTATGTGTTAGTGTTGCGTACAATTAGGATAAAATATTCGTTGATTCGGTTTTCTTAATTTCATATTTTTGTTTATAATAGATTTTTGACAATAAAAACAAACTTTTAAGAAAAACTAGAAGTATCTGTGCAAAATTTCAGCTCGCTAGCTGCTTTCATTTGGACTCTATCGTGTTTTCAACAGACAGACAGACGGACAGACGGACGGACATGGCTAGATCGTCTTAGAATCTTATAAGGACTCAGAATATATATACTTTTATGGGTCTTAGATGAATATTTTTTGATGGTGGGTATAATAAATATATATATGGCTTTAATAAATGTTTATTTAGTTCAGATGTATAAATATAACATATAATTTCTAATTATTATTAAAAGTATCCGAATAACGGATATTTTGCGACAAAATATACATCACTATGACACATTTTCTTATTTTTACTTATTTTCCTTGTAATTTTTGATAAATTTTTGCAAATATTGATAAATTTCTTTGATATTTGACTAATTTTAATGCCGGCGAATATATTTTGCATTAGTATAACACTAATCAATATAATTTACATGGTTAAATACTTTATGGCATTATATTTAACCAACAAACTTTGAAAAAGCCAAATCAAATGATTTTGTCCATCATTTGATTGACAGACGGGCATTTCCAAATTTCCTAAAAATAGTGCTGGACAATTGAAATATTGTCAAATATTCATGCATTAATCTAATAATGCCTAGATTTGAGTTTTTTCCTCAAAATATAATCGTTTAAAAATTTTCTGGGATTTTATTTACAAATTTGTAAACGTTAAAATTAGAATTTTTAGATTTTATTTTAAAATAAACCATAATTAGTTTTCGCAATCAACCTAAAATTACCGGAAAAATCTTTATCTGAGAAAAAAATTGTTAAAAATCTACAATAAAATTCTTCTAATTGTCAATGGTTTATTGAAGGTGTTTTAAGCTATTTCACGTTTATAAATACGATTTTCCTGAATTTTGCCTAAAATTGTTTAATAAACCTAAAATAAGTTTTTATAAATACAGCCGTTAAAGTCTAGCGATTACCGTTCGTGAGCTGGACCAAATTTAAAAAGGCATTTTTGAATCATTTTTTTTTTTTATTTTAGTTTTGTTTTGAAAACAATATATCCAATATAGGGTATCGTTTGAAAGGACTTTTAAAGCCGCGTTCAATGATGTATTAATCATAAATAACCGTCTGCTCATAATTGTCATATTATAAAAAATTTAAAATTTTTAGGTTTTTCATTACTATAAATAAAATGAAAGCACAATTTTGCAAAATTGTATATTTTGTTAAAGAAAAAATTTAAAATTTAAAAAACAACTAAAAAGGGACTTTTTTGCAACCGGTCCAGCTCACGAACGGCCACCGATAGACTGGATATATTTTGGTAACCATCATAAAACAAAACATAGATTTTTTGAAGCTGGGTAATATATT